TCTACAAACAGTTTTTAGTTAAATGAGTTACAACAACAACTAATTTCCGTCTGGGATCAACAAAGTATTTTTAAATTTGAATTTGAATTGAATTGAAAAGCAACAGAAAGAAAACGGCAGTTCGAGAGGAACACCTGTTCAGCACAGTTTGTCAGTTAATGTCCAAACCATGATTCACTGCAGCTGGGAGGAGACTGTCAGGGCAGGTGTGATAATTTATTGAGGAACTGTCAACAAGAGGCAAGAGGTTAAACTGCTTTATGTTGTTAGTTTATACTACAAAGATGGCTAGTCATAAACTAAGAAACCAGTTTAAAATACACCAGAAATGAAGGATTTAAGCTGTTTCCATTTTGCATATCAACCAGTGATAGAAAAAGTCTGTAAGTGTAATTTTAATAGAATGCCATGCTCACATGGAATGAATGTACCTCTATGCACACAGAAACGTTAGTATTATTACACACCCGAGTTCGACTCAATTTGCACACCCCTCGGATCATGAGTCTGCCATGACTGTTTTCTTCCTGTAATTTATATTTTTCTGCACAGTATCTTGCCTTATTTTCATTTTAAATATTATTCTTATTTTTATTTTGATCTATGTTTATTTTTATTGTTACTATCTTTAATTCTATTATTATTGCTACAGTTGATAATGTCACATAGCAATGTACTGTTTCTGTGGATTCATGTATGTATCTGCTGCTGCTACTACACCTGAATTTCCCTGYGCGGGACAATAAAGGCTGTTTCTATTCCATTCTATTCTATTATCAATTAATTAATTATTCATTCATTAAAACAAAAACAATCTACCGTATTAACAATAAAAACAAAACAAGTCCTAAATAAAATGAAAGGAAGCAGAAATAAGAAAAAAAATCTTATTATTGGACCCTGACAAACACCAGATGGTATCCATGGTCTAACGTTTTGTCCTCCCACTCTGTGACCTATCAGGAAACATCCAATGATCGTGATGGATGTTGTGTGTGAACTGTATGTGTGCTCTTCTCTCTAAAAAAAACACACAGCGGCTTTCTGTCGTTACCCTTTATTTAACAAGGACGTCTTAGAAGAGGAAACAGAAACCTGGCAGGGAGTTCTTGTATTCTCAAAATACAAACACCCCAAGGGCTACCAAGGTGTTACAGTTACGTTTTTATATTCACTTTAAAATATCACACAAGACAAACATGACAAGATTCCTAAAAAAAGATAACCATCACTGTTCACCTGTGAGTAAGTTCTGAAGAACTCTTGTCGAGAACAAAGAAATAAGGAAGAAAAAAATATATTTACTCATGAGTCATTTCTGCCAAGATATGACGTGTTGATTCAAAGGAGTGTTACAGGCAAAAAAAAACTTTCAGGTGGCCCACGTTCAGCTCCCGTTAAAAGACAGTCCTTTGTTCCTGCAGCTGTTTGTAATGAAACACCAAACTATGTAGCAGAAAATATGAGATGTTCAGACTGATCAGACTGCAAGCAATTGTTTTTTGGCATTCAATGGAGACAACTACAAGCTAAGGTGCTTTATCATATTCTGACAGAGGTCCAAAGTTATGAAATGAGTCCAGATTAGCTTGGATTAAAAAAATACCTGTCAGGAATTTCATAGTGACAAATAGATTACACGCCAAATAACAAGTAACTTCTACTGAAATGACTGCTACAAATAAAAGTGGGAAGGAGGTGGTGATGTTACTCTAAAAAGCTTGAGTCTTGGCACAAACTGGCAGAGCTTCTAATGAAAAAATAAAATAAAATAAAAAGGTTTACGGTTCTTAGAGTAGAATACCCATCGCTACATTTACACTGTGGGCAAGTCTAATACAATCACAGTTTTCTTGCATTTGTTTATGTTGGAGTAGGGGTGCACAATATTGAAAAAAACCTGCGATGTGCAATAACAGTGCTTAATATTGCGATGATGATATGACTTGCAATAAATGAACAAATATTGCTTAAAGGAGAACATTGCTTAACACTTAAGTGCTTGCGCAGTTATAGCGTCTACGAGTGTGGCATCTGAAGAGAATCATTCGATTAACCAAATACATGAATTTTTGATATATTGTGCAGCCCTGTAWTGGAGTATATTTTAGTAAACAAAGAGCCATGAAATACAAACATTACATCGTAAACACAGAACTGAACAGGTGCAAATAAAGGTCTTGTATAGCTGGCAACTTAAAATTGTGAAAAAAATAGTATTCTGTGAAAATTTGTCTTAGTGTTTACAATCATGCAAACAGCAAGTCATGTGGCCATGTCGTGAATGGTTAATTTTGAACAACAMAGACTATGAAATACAATAGTGATGCCATTTCATGCCTTAAACCAAAGCATCAATGTGGACTAAAGACATTTTGAATTTTCTGTTAAAACATTGGAATAAACAGACTGACAGCTTTTCTGTTTGTAAAATGAACTTATGATGTAAACATATAGTGCCTTTTGCTGAAAACAAGGGATGCATAAAACTGAACATGCAGAATTGTGTCAAATATAATCAGCATGAGAACAGTGCAGAGAGTATGTATTCAAATCTGATATCTGCTCAAAGGGAACATGAAGTGTTGTGTTGTTCCCCCACTGTATACAAACACTGGACTGTGYTGCTGATACACACGCTTGAACACAATCTTATAGCAATATGTCTTCAAAAAAATGCACATCAAAACAAATGAGAAACAAGTGAGTGGAAACTGGAGTCAAATGTTTGTGACTAAACTGTAAGAAATTTCATAAAAAGAAAAATGATTACTTACAGGAAAGCACATACAGTAAAGAATAAGGTGACAGTGGGCTAAAGAAAGGCAATTATCAGGCTTTTTCATAAAACAGTTATGTGAAATGGACCAGTCGATCTTTATGCTGCCTCTGGTCATACATAAATCAATGATGGAGGCGACTGCAGATGTGAGCTTTCAGACGAAGAAACCCACACAGAAGTGACCAGAAGTCCTGGACTGAAGCGTTTTGTGAAAGAGTCTGTGGATTGTGTTGACTGAATGAAAGTGTCATGTTTAAGGGTGAACAAATTGCAGGTTTTTTTGTACAATCACACTCAAAGCCTGACCTGCCAATTCCACTTTTGGCCGATACCAGTTTCTTTAATAACTGACACTGTCGGGTGTTTTAAGGTCCCAATACACCTTCACGTTCCAATWTTATTTTATAGAAAAACACTGAACAATACCCTCRAAACAAYACAAACTTGTTTTAACTGAACAACAGCCCCTCTCTCAGTGCAGAGCAAAATGAGACAGTGGCTGATTTTCAGACCTTTGCAGAGGTAGATAATATCGGCTACTTATGTAAGTATCAGCCAAACGCCGGTCACCCAAAATTAAGGAAATCGGCCAGGTAAAAACACAGGGGAAATGCCAGTCATCACATATTCAATAAATACCAAAGTCTACAATGAAATTTTAGACACTTTTTCTTTTTTCATTAGTTGAATCTTGTCACAGGGCAAAAGACGTGAAAACCTTCCTTTAAGAAAAATAATGTCACTAGTATGTTTTGTAGATAGTCTGGATCTCAATCCAGCTGCACATGTCTGATGGAAATTTAAGAAAATAGTCAATTATTAAAAATCCAACCTGCAAATCTGATCTGGCAACAGTAACACGAGRAAGTTAGAACCAGACTGAAGAAGAGAACTGATTGTTGTTAGGTCCATGCTTCAGAGAATTCAAGCTCTTAAAAGAGGTGGTGCAACAAAGTACTATTGAGGCAGTATTTTTCCTCCACTTGATCTAAATAATAATAATAATAATTGTGACTCCAATATTTCTCTTTTTATTGCTTCTTAATGCTATACAAGGTTGTAATTTTGACTATCTATAGTCTTTGTAACATGACTGAGACCTCAGAGTAGYGATWCCATCATTTTTGCCAGGTTTTTAGGTCCAGATGGCAAGCAAGTGAGGTAAATGGTGCAAAGACTATATGAGCAGTGCATCCATGCTCTGACGAATCCATCATCCTAATGCTCAAGGTGTCACATCCTGAAGGTTGGGGAATAACAGCAGGGGGGGTTCAATCAATAAGAAGAGTATACAAACGCAGAGGCATCATCTCTTTTCATTCCGTGTACACACTCGGCTGCACAAACGTACGCACGCTCGATGCGCCTGTAAATCCTGCTCACTGTGCACACGCACGCACGCACACATGCACACCAACGTCTCCCGACAGGTGAACAAACTCTGCATGTCCACACCTGTTTTTAGGCGCTCACCCAGTCCTGATTTTACTATCAAAATTAAGCCATGTTGCACACCCTTTTCGTGCCAAAACCACTCCCGTTTACAACCACTGCACCCCCTTTCAAAAACCAATTACTTAACCCTTGCAACCTAAACATGTCTCCTGCTGCTCCTTTTCAAAATACCCAGCCAAGACAACTTCCGATCGTGCCGCAATCGGAAGTTGTACTCGAAATTCAAACCTCGTTCAGGCTAACTAGCCCACTACCCCTGCTCCTAAACAAAGCTCCCATTGTCTGGAACTTGTAGTTTTACCGTTTTCTCWCGGCCCTCGCTACTGTGATTAACTCGGGTTCAAAAAACTACAAATTCGAAGTTTGTAGAACCCTACGCGCATGCGCACCGGAGCTCTAGCGATTAGAAGGTTGTGGGGTGTTTAGTAGTAAATAGAATGTTGCGGTGTTTTGGAAGCTTCGTGGACTCAGGAGGAAGACTGGAGGTTCTGAGAGGAAAACGAACCCCGGGGCTTCAGGTGGGACCGAGAAACACATACGGATACCCGGACTCTGCTCTAACTGAAGTTGGTCAGATCAGCTGCCTCTGTTTGCTTTTTTTGCTCGCTAACGTCTAGTTCGCCCGTCACTTTCCAGCTGTGAATATTTAATACTAGTTCAACTGAAACTGGTTCTGAGAAACCCAAAACAGAGCCAACCTTACCTAAAGCTGTTCCGGCGTCTCTGCTACTCCGTTAACACAACTCCACAGACACGAAGAAAACGRCCGTCGCTATATTGTCAGACTGCAGCCTACTGTTCACCGAGCAAGACCCGACCAAGAATGCTCAACCGAAACCACAGCACAACTGCGCCCGCACTCACATTGCGCATGCGCGGCTCTGACTGCTGCAGTGTACTGATAGTAACACAGGGGGCGGTAGTGAGATTGTGTACACACTGTGAGAAAAAAAAACAGGACTTTGTACTAAAATATTACTATACACATATAATTGTTTTAGAACAAGTACTTTTAAGTGCAAAATATTATTAGCTACACAAGTGCAACAAATACCAATATTTTGGGTAATTTAGATCCTAAAACTTTACTTCCACCAAAAAGCATGGGCTGTGCTGGGATCCTYTGAAGTGTATCTAGTCAAAATTAATTAAAGGCCATATAGAATAGAATTTAAAATGCATACAAACAAATAATTAATGGTATAACTTCCGTATAACTTGTTGAATTTATTTTCCATACAACTCAGTACTGCCATCATGTGGACATAATTGGTATTGCACGTGTTCTGAACGCTCACGTGACGTAATTTTCACTGCGATACTCAACAATCCAGTGATGCTGCACGTCGCTTTTGTCAAGTAGATATGAAAAGACAGCCAGAAGGCTGCGTGCTTTGACACGAACGATATTTAAAAATATAATAATAAGTACACGAGAGTTTACGAGTCCAAAGTATCAAATTAAAGACGAGAGCACAGAACAGTGAACGATGGGTAAAATAATAATATTAGCTTCCTATCCTGCTCAGCAGTCAACAGTTCTTGCAGCAGAAACTGAATATGTGAGGAGGCAGTAGCACAAGGTGTAGAGCAGGGAAGAAATGTCGGTGATGCTGTTTTACAGCACGTGCAGCAATTAAAAATATTGGGTTTCCTGTTCATGCACTCTTTTTGTACTACTATATTTTTGCCAAATAAACCTCTACACTTACAGGATTAAGTCTCCTTTTTTGCACCTTTACATTGCAGTATGAAAC